GTGGCCAGCAAACGCAGACATATTCAGCCCTGTTTTCGCTTGACTGCGCCACGAAGAATACTTTTCGGGCAGAAACAAACTGGAAATACGTCTACGTCTACGTCTCCCATACACAGAATCGCCAGCTAGTAAACTAGAAACTCACCGTGGCCCGTTGCTTCGAGATCCTTCGAGATGGTTAGAAAAACGAAAGTGTATCCTACCCAGAAATAGAGAACAAGTGAATGTTGCTTAATAAGAAATAATCAACGTTGTCAGGGTTAGAAAACATCTGTGCCCCGCCGGGGGTGGGGAGGTTCCGCAGCAAAGTTTTATCCTGGAAAGCTTCGCCGTGAGGTTAACCTGAGATCAGGCTCTACTTTCGTTTCGCTTTGAAAATAACATTCAGGCGGGCAAGGCCAAACGAAAAGCGGTAGCCGTTAGAGAGAATGTATGAGAACTGATAAAATTGGGCCTGATCTAAGGTTACCTTGAGGGCCAGCTCCTTACCCTTCTATATAATATTTTTTGAGAGAAAAGGTACCCCTCCCTTACCCAGTACCTTCCATTGACAAATGGTACCTCTTTCAAATACCAAGTTTAGAACTTTGCATTACTTTTAGCTGCTGTCGATGTACTGTCTTTAAACTGTGAATAAATCACAAAACTGGCCAGCAAATTTTCTCGACTTTTTCACAGCCATAAAATCCTTCTGTTAGCCCTTTTAGGTCCTTTTACAGACCGAAATGACACAGATTTCTCCACCCTCTCATATACTTCAACTATTGAAATCCTAAACCCTTTCATACACCTGAAGTCTGGAAAAGGTACCCCTTTCGCAATTCGGGCGAAGCTTCCCCGATAAGCCATTATAGGGGGTACCCCCCGGGATTTATGCTTGCTCTTCTCACAATGAGTGAAACAATCAGTTTTCCCTGAAACAATCAGCTTGCTACAAAATTGATTATTTTCTTGCGTTGAATGTCTAGGTTTATATACGATGTACTAGGTTGGTGGCTTGTATTGTTTTCTTTTCTTTTTTTTAGACCTGGACGAATGCAAGGATAAAACTCATCAGTGTGACGTAAATGCGAACTGTACCAACATTCCTGGCTCATATAACTGCACGTGCAGGCCTGGCTACACAGGCAATGGGAGCATTTGTGAAGGTAAAAATTTGGGAAGACCTTAGATAACAATGACCTCAACAAGGTTGTGGTGTCCAGCGTCATCTTTATAAAAATTTCTGTGATTCCAATGTAGGAGGTAGGTTTATGTGTAATTCTGGAATTTTGGTTTTTCAGATGTTGATGAATGTGCTGACAACTTACATGACTGCGACGCTAATGCAAACTGTACAAACATCCCGGGATCCTATGGCTGTGTTTGCAACCCACCATATAATGGATATGGGAAAAAGTGCATTAAAACACGTGAGTGTAGTATTAAGCCGAGAAATATAAAATGATCCGAGTGAAAGTTGGAGGAGAATGGAGGGTTGATGGCTTAGGGCTTGTTTACATGGAGGTGGGGGACCCCAGGTAGGTGAAGAGACCGTTTAGGTGGGGTAACCCGCCTGTCCATATAATTTCTCATTTTAATTTGATCACGTTTAAATGATAGGTGGGGTGACCCGCCACATGTTACCTCACCTGTCTGGGCTCCCCCACCTCCATGTAAACCGGCCATTAGTTGGTACTGCGCCTTGGGTCCTAATGACGTTTAGAGAAGGCAACAACTGCTTTAGGCCCTTTATAGGGTGGATTTCCACTGTCGCGTAATTTTTACGTGCGTACGAGCAGAAAAATTTAATTACATTCGCAAATAAAAGAGAGGCAATGTGTGAAGGATCGTGCGTAAAAGTAAAAGTTGAACCTCGCCCAACTTCACGATTAAGTGCAACACGGCTTCGTACCTTGTCTCTAGTTTATTTACGCGAGTAAAAAATTTACGTGCGTTTACACGCGCGTGAAAATTACGCGTCCACCCTTCATCCGGGTGCGAAAAGAATGGCCTGAAAAAAAAATCAGGCTGGTATCGGATTCAAACTCTTGACCTATGCGATGCCGGTGCAGCGCTCTAACCAATCGAGCAAGCAAGCCATCTGGGAGCTGGTCATTACAAAAATGGGTCATTCTCTGGGTTCAAACCTTTCACAAAATATAGGTCATCTCCGAATTATCACTTTCAAAATGAGGCTGAGTGCAAAATCTTTCTTGTGAAAATGACTTTTATTTGCATAAGAATAAAAAATCATTTTCATATCGCACTTAGCCTCGCTTGGAAATAGAGGCTTAGAGCAACTGTTGATTCGTAATATACCCGGGAAAGATTACAGGTTTTCTACCTGTCGCCCTTTTCCCATCAAATCGTCGGCTTTTCAACGAAATCGTCGCATATCAATAGTTGTTTTGCATGGTAACGCTAGTGGGGAGAACGAACAACCACGATGACGGCGAAGGTAACGTGAGTAAAAAAAACATGTAACAGGTTTCCGCATTAATAAACAGGAAAAAAAACCTGAACGTGCAGCGCACTTTTTAGCAAATTTCCTTGCCATTGTCGCACGAGTGACGTTCTCAAACTTTATCGAAATGGCAGTGCGATCGTACCTTTAGCCCCCGTCCAGACGTCCACACATGTCCGTATTCAAATCGAATTTGCCCGTCCACATGTATCCGGATTCACTCTCAGTTCGTCAGCTAATTTGTAATAAAGCGATCTTTGGCTCACGCGAAAATTTTATCGCCAATCTGTTTCATTGATAAAATTGTCCCATCAAGCACTATATTTCACTCGTTTAACTTGTTTACGGCGTCCAATCCGTCCGTCCTGCATGGAAAGCTTCAAAATGTCAAACCGCCGTTTGGCATAATTGAAGTGTACAGTAATCATAGCTACAATGAGGGAAAAAATGTGTTGAGACACTTCTGTAAAATGGCGCTTTTGAACATGCAGTGGACATACCTATCCCCTTCCCCTTTGTACTCCCACCCCCTCCCTCCTAATTACCAATGTTGTGTTTTAGACCCTCAAGTCTTTCTTTTACTACAAACAACATTTATTCGGGGGGGGGAGGTTTACGGTGTTTAAATAGAATGAAATAATAAATGTATGAAATTGTTGATAAAAGCACCCGTTTTAGACAAGTGTGTCAACTACTTTTGTCCCTGATTGTAGGTTTAACTGCTCACACGTTATAAGACTTGAAACTGAAGTGCTAGAAGTAAAGAAGCGATAATATTGCGCTGGGCACCGTCTTGAATATTTACGGTAAAGAACTGGGCTGAACGTTACTGTATAAGAAAATATACGGATTTAGCGGCCACTAGTCTGAAATGGCATCCGTCTGCACCCCCTAACCCGTCGGGTCTCTCTCCCCCGCGTCCCCCACGGGTTAGGAGATGGCCACGTGTAACATTTCAGATTGAGCGTCCACACGATTCCGGATTTACAACGTATTTAAAAATTTCCTCTCTGGACAGCGGATTCAGAAAGTAGTGGAATCGTCTGCTGCTGGATTCACCGGATACGTGTGGACGGAAGCGGGATCCGTAAAGAAAACGTTGCGGATTCAAAAATATCCGGATACATGTGGACGGTGGCTTAATCTCTAAGATTGTCGTTTCATCCAGCGATTGTCGCGACTTCGCCTAAAGAGAGTCTCATATACCTTTAGCTCGACTATCCGTACACAGCTACGCTGAGTACCATAATTTGCTGGATTGATGCGCTTTTCCGCGTGCGATCATACCAAAGATATGAACCAAAGATTTCTTTTCTAAGGTGGTTTTAATGCATCAACTATTCTTGGCAACGACAGTAGGTACTTGGAGAATTTGACGTTGTTTTTTATGTACTAGGTTGGTGGCTTGTATTGTTTTCTTTTCTTTTTTTTAGACCTGGACGAATGCAAGGATAAAACTCATCAGTGTGACGTAAATGCGAACTGTACCAACATTCCTGGCTCATATAACTGCACGTGCAGGCCTGGCTACACAGGCAATGGGAGCATTTGTGAAGGTAAAAATTTGGGAAGACCTTAGATAACAATGACCTCAACAAGGTTGTGGTGTCCAGCGTCATCTTTATAAAAATTTCTGTGATTCCAATGTAGGAGGTAGGTTTATGTGTAATTCTGGAATTTTGGTTTTTCAGATGTTGATGAATGTGCTGACAACTTACATGACTGCGACGCTAATGCAAACTGTACAAACATCCCGGGATCCTATGGCTGTGTTTGCAACCCACCATATAATGGATATGGGAAAAAGTGCATTAAAACACGTGAGTGTAGTATTAAGCCGAGAAATATAAAATGATCCGAGTGAAAGTTGGAGGAGAATGGAGGGTTGATGGCTTAGGGCTTGTTTACATGGAGGTGGGGGACCCCAGGTAGGTGAAGAGACCGTTTAGGTGGGGTAACCCGCCTGTCCATATAATTTCTCATTTTAATTTGATCACGTTTAAATGATAGGTGGGGTGACCCGCCACATGTTACCTCACCTGTCTGGGCTCCCCCACCTCCATGTAAACCGGCCATTAGTTGGTACTGCGCCTTGGGTCCTAATGACGTTTAGAGAAGGCAACAACTTCTTTAGGCCCTTTATAGGATGGATTTCCACTGTCGCGTAATTTTTACGTGCGTACGAGCAGAAAAATTTAATTACATTCGCAAATAAAAGAGAGGCAATGTGTGAAGGATCGTGCGTAAAAGTAAAAGTTGAACCTCGCCCAACTTCACGATTAAGTGCAACACGGCTTCGTACCTTGTCTCTAGTTTATTTACGCGAGTAAAAAATTTACGTGCGTTTACACGCGCGTGAAAATTACGCGTCCACCCTTCATCCGGGTGCGAAAAGAATGGCCTGAAAAAAAAATCAGGCTGGTATCGGATTCAAACTCTTGACCTATGCGATGCCGGTGCAGCGCTCTAACCAATCGAGCAAGCAAGCCATCTGGGAGCTGGTCATTACAAAAATGGGTCATTCTCTGGGTTCAAACCTTTCACAAAATATAGG